TTTAGCGTGACACTTTGTACATAGTAGGTTCTTAATAAATGTATGCCAATTGGCTATTTTGTGATTTGGTTAGGAATGATAAACCGTTTTTGCTTTATCTGAAATTTTGCCTAATGTAGAAACTGCTTATTTGTTTGTTTTCTCCTATAGTCTGCCTTCATATTCTCAACCAAATTGAAAGATTAGTTATAGCATTTGAGTTTGATTAAATAGTAAGCAATCTTGCTAAACCTCAAAGTCTTTTTGTAATATGAATTCTCATAAAAACATGATGTCAATATCACAATTTTGGAACAAAACCACAGGCTGATGAAGAAGAGTTCAAAATGATGACACAATTGTTTTATCAAATCATCCATTAAATGTCAATTTTTCCAAGTTTAAAATATCAATTTTGAGACATTAAAATATTACATGAAATGCTTTATAGATATGAATGCCCTTCAGAGAAAATTCAAAAAGTAGCAATACCATTTTCTGTTTCATTCATAAAATATTTTCTGCTGATTTTAAGAACATTTCTCTAAGTATAAATATAGTATTTCCAAGAATGAAAGGACTTTAAAATATAATCTAGAAAAAAAATGGACCTAGCTACTTTCGTCTGAGCTATTGATAACTGTTTTTGCAGCTTGGAATCATTTAGAAGATGTATTGCTCCTGGTATGTTAGGACACCTAGACATACAAGTTCTGTTAATCAGTCATTTTTTTATAAGGGGGCTTCACATATATTATAACATATATGACATATTCTTATAATGAACATGATTTTATGACATGATTGTAGATTAATAACATCTATAAACTATCTAAGACTTTAAAATACACATTGATGATACTGAATCAGACTGAAAGTAACTTTTTTCATAAGTCAGAATTTCTGTAAGATAGACTTTTTTTTTCCTCAATTAGCTAATTCATTTGACTCTCAGTCTACTGTTCACTTTTTAAACAAAGTTAACAAAATGTTTTCATGACCATATCTTTTCAAGAACTATTGTTTGAACATATTTAGTCAAAGGTAGACAAATAGGATAATTCATAAACATTATAATACTGTTCTGTTGAAAACTGTGATTCATTAGGACAAGACATTTATTAATTTGAATTTCATAGCTACTTTCAAAACAAGAATTAGAGGAATCTGATGACATTCTTACTGAGAGACAATTCAGAATATATATATTTACTTTCTATTGAACATATCAGAAAAAGTGTTACACTAAATAATAAAAATGATGCCTAGAAATCTTGATTTTTCTCCAAAATCATAGCAAAAATAAAAAATAAAAATAAAAAAGTAATCAGCAGAAAAACATTCCAAAGGCAAAGCAAAGTTCTTCTCTGGGCTTCTCATCTAAGAAGACACATGATAAATTATAGTTATTTTTCATTAGGTTGGTGCAGAAGTAATTGCTGGTTTTGCCACTACTTTCAATGGCAAAACTACAAGTACTTTTGTGCCAACCTAATAGGTTAACGTAGGTGACAATGTTTAGTTTGGCCTAATTCATATGTTAATGGTCTACCTGATGCACTGGGGATCAAGGCACACTACAATCATCAGATCCACTCCAGCATCTTGACTACTCATTTCTTAGAATATATTTACAGATACACTGAAAAATAGTGTAATACCATGTGGTCAACTAAGATACTGTTACTAATAGCATTTCCTGTTAAAATTCTGGAATCCAGCAATTTCATGTTACATGCACACATTGTTCTACCAAAAGCACACAGATAATTTAAGCAATTGTATAGAAAATGCAAATCAAATACAAATCGAATTGCCTCAATTAGCCCCTTTGTGTGGACTTTGGAGATGAACGCCAGGTAACGATGATCTCCATCCTCACAAGCAATATCTACATTTGAGCAAATTTTACTAAAGTAGAAGAGGGAACACAGGCAAGCCATACAGACTTTTAAAATAAATCACATGATTTCCCATCATCTGTAATACTGATCAGAATGCTGGTCCAGAGAAGAACATGATGCAATGCAAAAGGAAAACAAAGGGGTTGACAATCATTTCTGTCAAGATGGCCCCAGGGCAGAGTTACAAGTCTTTCTCAGGAATAACTGCACCTTGATTTTCTACCTTTTCCCCAAATCTACACGCTGCTTTTCACGAAATTTAAACACTCTCTCTCTTTCTCTCTCTCTATACATATATACGTATATGTGTGTGTGTGTATATATATCCTATATACATATGTGTGTATCCTATACAGCTAAGCCAAGGAAGACTGTGTATTTTTTTTTTCTTTTTTTTTTTGACATGAAGTCTCATTCTTATCCCCCAGGCTGGAGTGCAATGGCATGATCTCGGCTCACTGCAACCTCCGCCTCCCGGCTTCAAGCAATTCTCCTGCTTCAGCCTCTCTAGTAGCTGGAATTACAGGGGCCTGCCACCACGCCTGGCTAATTTTTGTATTTTTAGTAGAGACGGGGTTTCACCATGTTGGCCAGGCTGGTCTTGAACTCCTGACCTC